ACATAAAAATGTTAGGTGTCATCCTTATTTGTTACGTTAGGAGTGACTTTAATCTCAGTTCTCTGTGAATCAGTGTCTCCTGTGCAGCCCAAGTCAGCCTTGAAATCATGCTCTTTCTGCCTCGAATTTACTGCATGTCGGATTACAGGCCTGTGCTGCTGCACTCTGCCTGGAAATGGGCACGTTGTTGTACTAATTTATTGTTATTTTTTAATTGAAACTTTTTTCATATAATATATTCTGATCACACTTTCCCTCACTTCTACCAGATCTTCCCCACTCCCCACCTACCCGACTCCACACCCTTTCTCTTTCTCTCTCTCTTTAGAAAATGAATTAGGCAAAATAACCCAAGGAGGGAGGCACCACAAACACACACAAACGCCACAAAATCAGAAACCATAACACACAAGCAGAGACTAGGAAGACAAAAATGCCCAAACAAAAAAACCTGAGATGAAGAGTCTACAACAACACCACTGAGATCATTTTGTGTCGGCCATCGACTGCTGGGCATGGGACCTGCCCTTAAGTGTGGTTAATATGCCCAGTGAGACTCCTTGGGAGAAAACCAGTTTTTTCTTTCTAAGTGGTTATCGAGTAAAGATAGCTTCTCCACCTCTTTGTATATTTTCAGTAATCCCCAACAAGGCAAAATTTTTTTACTTCTTCAAACATTCTTTTTAAAGTATCTGCATTTGAGTCAGCTAGTAAAATATCATCTATATAATGATAAATTATAGATTTAGGAAATTTTTTACATATCACTTCCAATAGCTGTTGTACAAAATATTGGCACAGGGTTGGGCTATTCAACATTCCCTGTGGGAGGAGCCTCCATTGATATCTCTTAACCGGTTAAGAATTATTATAAGTAGGTACCGTGAAGGCAAATCTTTCTCTGTCTTTTTCTTGTAAGAGTATTGAAAAGAAAGTCTTTTAAATCAGTAACTATAAGAGGCCATCCTTTAGATAACAGAGTAGGCAAAGGAATTGTGGATTGTAGAGAGCCCGATTACTTTGCTAATTGCTCTAAGGTCTGTTACCATTCTCCATTTACCAGATTTCTTTTTAATAACAAGTACAGGAGAATTCCAAGGGCTGGTTGATTCTTCAATATGCTGAGCATTTAACTGTTCTTCTACCAGCTCTTCTAAACCCTGGAGTTTCTCTGTTGTTAAAGGCCATTGCTGAACGCATACAGGCTTGTCTGTTAACTATTTTAAAGGTAGAGCTGTTGGTGTCTTTGGAAGATCATCAGTTGTTGTGTCTTATTCTTGTACAATCTGGATGGCTGGTGACCACTCATTAGAATAATACCTTCTAATATTTCTCTCAGAAACATGTGCTAGTTTATGATTTGTTTCTGAGGTTGGAGGGATGTTAATCTGAGTATTCCATTGTTGTAACAGGTCTCAACCCCATAGGTTCATAGCTATGTTAGCCAACTATACATTCAAGCCATCTTGCACTTTATTTCACTTAAAATAATGTTCCAATTCCTAACGTTTACCTCCTGAAGAGGCCAAGTTAGATGCCAATATTCTGGTGCAATTATGGTCACATCAGCACCTGTGTCTAACAGACCAGACAACAAAACACCATTTATTTTTATTGTTAATTTTGGTCATTGTTCATTTATAGAAGTTTGCCAAAAAATTTGCTTTATGGTTTCTCCTGAATTTTCTTTTCTCTCTGTCTCAGCTGTTTCATCACCCCAGCAGCCTGATTTATTCCAGTAGGCATTTGGTTATTTAATTGCTCTGAGTAGGGGTTTCCTCTATGACTGCAGGAAAGGTTTGAACTGGATTTGCTGTAGGGGCCTGCATGAGGCCCCTCTGGGAGTTTCCGGAAGACCGAGGCAAAGTATTACCTTGTCTGTCCCTTGTTGATCTACATTCATGGGTCCAGTGTTTTCTCTTACCATACCTTCTGCCTACTCCAGAGGGAAGGGGCATTCTGTTGCCATTGTTCCTTGAAGAAATATTGGAAATATTGTTTCTAGGAATGACCTGTTTACAGTCCCTTTTCAAATGTCCTTGCTTTCCACATCCAAAACATCTGACATTCCTCAAACCTCTTGAAATTGCCTCTCATATCCACATATCATCATGGCCATGAGCCTCAACATTAAAGTGTCTCTAATCCAATCTTCCAAGGGTGAAGATCTTGCCTTTAATAGCCTGATTATTCTCTTGCGTGCTTCATTTGTGTTCTCAAAAGCCAAAGATTTGATTATTGTAACATGAATCTTTAAAGTTCTTATTAATAAAATCAAACCTGAGGTCAGTTACTGGGGTAAATTGGAAGATCAGAGAACCAGAACAAGCCACAGCTGACCTCACCTGGCCAGTTCTCAGCTGGTCTTGTTTCCTCAGACTGGAAGCTTCTGTGTCCTCATCCCAATGGCTCTCAGCTGAACTGTGCTTCTAGAAAGCCTGAAAGCTTAACCAGCCAAATGCTTATCCAGGCCAAATGCTTCTAGTTTCTGGTCTTCACGCCTTATATACCTTTCTGCTGTCTACCATCACTCCTTGGGATTAAAGGCTCGCTTTCTGGGATTAAAGGCGTGAGTAACCATGCTTGGCTGTATCCTTGAACACATGGATTTCTGCCTCTGGAATGCTAGGATTAAAGGTGTGTGCTACCACTGCTTATCCTAAGTATTTAGTGGCTTTTCTGTTCTCTGACCCCAGATAAGTTTATTAGGGTACACAATATTTTGGGGAACACAATACCACCACATTTCCTCTCTTTTTGTCTAAAATTTAAAAAAGCTTATAACTAATACAAGAAAAACTGTCCAATAAGTATATGCAATATATACAGCCAAGAATTACATTAACAATGTCTAGTCCATTAACATTTGACAAATTCAGATAAAAATTCCATTTTATCTATATTAAAGATTATTATCTGGCTAGCTTCTGAATTTGGGACCATTCTCTTTACTGCTGAAGTCAGTCTTTGTAAGAAATCCATGAAGGATTCTTTTGGGTCCTGCATAACCTTTGTAAATGACTCCGTTTCTGTTCCTGCTTCCTCAGTTCTGTCCCATGCAGTCAAGGTTTCCATTTAACATAGAATTAAGGGTTTGGTTATCATATAAACATTGTCTTTGTATTGCAGCATATTGGCCTTCTCCAAAAGCTGATCCTGGGAGAGTTCCACACCTCTAGCCCTACACTGACTTTCTATGTTTTTAACTTCCTCTTTGAACCACATTTGCCACTGTACCTGTGCCCCCGGGTTCCAGGATAGCATTTACCAGCTCTCGCCAGTCCTGTGGTATAATCTTTTTATAAGTTGACCAGGAATTTGACATTTGCTTTACATATGGGGAATGCATGCCATAAGATACTATTGCCTCCTTAAACCTTCTTAAATCTAACATTTCAATTGGAGTCCAATTATTTTGTGCATTCACTTGACCAGGTAGCTGCTATATGGTTACCGGATAAATTAAGGGTGATTGTGTGAAAACAGGCTTTCTTTCTGTAACCTTATGATCCAGTCCTGAAATAATTTCACTGTTAAATTCTTCTGTCTGAATCTGAATTTCTCTTTAATTCATTTTAACAGGTTTTTCTAAAGCTTTTATCCTGGCACTTAAATTGACTATCTTTTTAAATTATAAAATAAGGATAAGGAAAGTAATAATGTGCATAATTGGTGTAATGTGCATCCCATCAACAATCTTCTCACATAGTTGTTCCATTTTCAGACCGCCTAAAATTTTATCAAACAAAGTCCAGTTTTCTTCTAATGTACACATAATACCCATTTTTTGTGTGTGGAAAAATAATTTTTCTCTTTTAAGTAGTTTTTCCCTTTAAAATATCTGATATCTTAATTGACTTACCAAGTCTTTGTAGAACAGTAGAAATTTGAGGGAATTTCAAAACAGCTGCCTAGCATCTGTTGGGAATCCAGAGAGAGAGGGAGGGAGGAGAGAGGGGGGGTGGCGCAGCCACATGTTCTGGCTAAAAGCTAAAATCCAGCCAGGAGCTCCTGCTTGAGCTGAGTCGAGCCTGGGCTCCGGCTTCCTTAAGCTCCAACCTCCTTAGGCTCCAACCACATGAGTTGGCGTTTCAGCCACAAGCTGCTCTAGCTGTAGCTGCTGCAAGCACAGCCGAGTGCAGCTGGACCGGTAGCTCCGGCAGGCCTGAGTTGTTCATAGCACCAGCTTTTTTATTTTTTATTTTAAGCCTGGGCTGCTTGAGTTGGCAGTCTGGCTGCAAGTAGCTCCAGCTGTGGGTAACTGTAGCTATGGTTGGTCAGGCCTAGGGCCTAGGCCAAGCTGGGCCAAAGCTGGAGCCAGGCCACCAAGGCAGGGAGCTGGCAGGCTGCTAAGCTGGTTTTTAATGAATTCTTGCCATGTTGGGCACCAAATGTAGATGTAACGGTCTTATTAAATAAGAAACACAGAGCCAAATGCAGAGTTAAAAGCCCAAGGGGTCAGAGCAGTAGCTAAGAGCCAAGACTAAAACCACCTTCTTACCACCCGCTGCCGATGCCATCCTTCCCCTGAGAAAGAGACCTACTTCCTGTGTATCTGTCTTTTTATTAACTTTTTGTTCTGCCTTCTCATTGGTTGTAAACCCAACCACATGACTGCCTTGTCACTGCCTGTCTGTACAGATCTCTAGGTCTCTATGGTTGGTATTGAGATTAAAGGTGTGTGTCTCCAAGCTGGCTATATCCTTGAACACACAGACTCTGCCTGCCATGTGATCGGATTAAAGGCATGTACCACCAACGCCCAGCTTCTGCTATGGCTTGCTATTAGCTCTGACCCCCAGGCAACTTTATTTATTAACATACAAATAAAATCACATTTCAGCACAAATGAAATATCATAATGCAGTATTTGTCTTTTGGGGTCTGAGTTACCTCAGAATGTTTTTTTTTCCCCCTAGCTCTTTCCATTTACCTGCAAATTTCATAATTTCACTTTTTAACAGCTTTGCAATATTCCATTGTGCAGGTGTACAACATTGACATTTTTTTTTTCCGCATCACCCGGATCAGCAGTCTAACGAGTGCTTTGTATGGAGTGTCATCACTGCCGACATTTTTCATTCATCAATTAATGGATATCTCAGTTGTTGCCAGTTTCTAACTATTGTGGATAGGCAACAGTGAACAAGGTTGAGCAAGTATCTCTGTGGTAGGATGTAGAGTTCTTTGGGTATACGCCCAAGAATTACAGAGCTGGATCCGAGGTACATATGCTTCCAGGTGCCTGAGGAACCCCCATGCTGATTTCCATAGTGGCTGTGCAAGTTTGTGCTCCCACCAGCAATGGATGAGTATCCCCCCCCCTTTCCCCACATCCTTGCCAGCATAAACTATCAGTTGTTATATTGATCTTGGCCATTCTGACTGGTGTACGATGAAATCTCAAAGTAGTTTTGGTTTGCATTCCCCTGACGACTAAGGGTATTGAATATTGAAGTGCTTCTCAGACGTTTGTGTTTCACCTTTGGGAACTCCCTGCTTAGTTCTGAACCCTGTTTTTAAATTGGGGTATTTGTTTTCTTGATGTCCAGTTTTTTAGTTCTTTATAATTTTTAGATACTAAATCTTTGTCATATGTGTAATTGGTGAAGATCTTTTCCCATTCTATGGCCAGCCTCTGATGAGGTCCCATTTATTAATTGTTGGTCTTTAGTATCTGTGCTAATAGTGTTCTGTTCAGAAAGTCTTTTCCTGTGCAAGTGACTTCAAAACTATTCCCATCTTTTCTGTCAGATTCAAGGTATCTGGTCTTATGGATCCCTTGATCCATTGGGAGTTTAGTTTTGTGCAGGGTAATGGTATGGATATATTTACATTCTCCTACATGAAGCCATCCAGTCTCACCAGTACCATTTGTTGAATGTGCTCTCTGTTTTCCAGTGTGTATTTCTGCTTCTTTGTCAGAAATCAGGTATCCATAGGTATGTACACTCATACCTGATTCTTTAATTCAATTCCATTTATCAATGTGTCTGTTTTTACTCCAATACCACAGTTTTTATGACTGTAGTTCTGTACTACGACTTGAGATTGGTAATGGTGGTATCTGAGTAACTGTGGCCTCATAAAAAGAATTAGGCAATATTCCTTCTGTTTTAATTTTGTGGAATATTTTGAGGAATGCTGTCATTAATTCTTCTTTGAAAATCTGATAGGATTCTGCATTAAGCCCATCTACCCCTGGACTTTCTTTTTGGTTGGGAGGTTCAAAGACTGTTTCTGTTTCACTAGGGTTATGGGTCTTTGTTTTGTTCGTTGTTTGTTTTTCCAGACAGGGTTTCTCTGTGAAATCCAGGCTGGCCTTGAACTCACAGAGATCCACCTGCCTCCCAAGTGCTGGGATTAAAGGTTTGTGCCTCTACCACCTGGCTACAGGTCCTTTAAATTGCTTATCTGCTCTTGATTTAACTTTGGTAGGTGATATTTATCAATAAATTTATTCATTTCTTTTAGGTTTTTCCAGTTTAGTGGAGTACAGATTTTTAAAGTATGTCCTTTTGAGTCTCTGGATTTCCTTGATATCTGTTATTATCTTTCCCTTTTTGTCTTTGATTTTATTAGTATGAATGTTTTCTCTCCATCTAGGTAATTTGTCCAAGGGTTTATCAATCTTAGTGATTTATTCAAAGAACCAACTCTTATTTCATTAATCCTTTTACTTTTCTTTGTTTCTGTTTTATTGATTTTAGCCCTGGGTTTTATTATTTCTTGCCATCTATTCATTTTGAGTGTTATTTCTTATTTTTGTTTTAGAACTTTCAAGTGTGATATTGAGTTGCTAACATGAGATCTCTCTAATATTTTGATGTGGGCCCTTAGTGCTATGAACTTGCCTCTTAGAACAGCCTTCATTGTGTTTCATAAACTTGGGTATGTTGTGTTTCTATTTTCATTCTAAAACTTTTTTTTATTTGTCTTGACCCATTTTTCACTCAGTAGTGATTTGTTCAGTGTCCACAAGTTTGTAATCTTTCTGTTGTTTTTGTTGTTGATACCCAGCTTTAATCTGTGGTGGTCTGATAGGGTGCAGGGGGTTATTTCTATTTTCCTGTATCTGTTGAAACTTCTTTGTGTCTGAGTATCTAGTCAGTTTTGGAGAATGTTCCATGAGGTGCTGAGAAGAAGCTATATTCTTTTGTGTTTGGGTGAAATGTTCTGTACATATCTGTTAGGGTCATTTGGCTGATAATGTCTGTTAGCTCCAGTATTTCTGTGTTTAGTTTTTGTCTGGATGACCTGTCTGTTGGTGAAAGGGGGGTGGTGAAGTCTCCCACTATCAGTGTATAATGGTCAATATGTAGTTTTAACTGTAGTTGTGTCCTTTTATGAACTTGGTAACTTTTCTTGTGTTTGGTGTATAAATGTTTAGAATTTCAATGTTACATTGGTGGATTTTTCCTTTGATGAATATGCAGTGTCCTTTCCTATCTCTTCCAATTAGTTTTGGTTTGATGTCTATTTTGTCAGATATTAAAATGGATACACCAGCTTGGTTACTGTGTCCACTTGCTTGGAATATCTTTTTCTATCATTTTGTCCTGACGTAATGTCTATCCTTGATGTTAAGGTGTGTTTCTTGGATACTCCAGAAAGATGGATCCTGTTTTCTGATCCAATTTTTAGTCTCTCTCTTTTTGTTGGGGGAATTGAGATCATTAATATTGAGAGTTATCAATAAGCAGTGTTTATTGATTTCTGTTATTTTTTTGTCGTGGTATGGGGTCTCCTCTTTTGACTTAGTGGTCTGGGATTATTTTTCTTGGGTGTTGTTAATTTCTTCAGGTTGAAGTTTTCCTTCTAGTTCCTTTTGTAGATCCAAATTGGTAGATACTGCTTAGATTTGGTTTTATTATAGAATTTTTTTTGTTCCTCCATCTATTGTGATTGATAGTTTTGCTGGGTGTATAATAATCTGGGCTGGTATTCCTGTTCTCTCAGAGTTTGTAGAACATCTCTTCAGGTCTTCCTGGTTTTCAGAGTCTCTATCAAGAAGTCAGGTGTTATTCTGATGGGCCTGCCTTTATATGTTACTTGGTCACAGCTTTTAATATCCTATCTTCTTCTGTATGTTTAGTGTTTTGATTATTATGTTTCATGAGGAATTTCTTTTCTTGTTCTGTCTGGTGCTCTGTTTCTTGTACCTTAAAAAGGCATCTCCTCCTTAAGGTTGGGAGATTTTCTTCTATGATTTTGTTAAAAATATTTTTTTTGTGCCTCTCATCTGGGTTTCCTCTTCCTCTAGTCCTATTATTTGTAGATTTTCAGTGTTCCAGACTTCCTGGATGTTTTGTACCTGGATATTTTTATATTTAACATTTTCTTTGACTGAGGTATCTGTTTCTACTATTTTGTCTTCAACACCCGAGATTCTCTTTTTCATCTCTGTGTGCTGTTGGTGAGGCTTACAAACTCTGAGGCACGAGCCCACAGAGGTAGGGTGTGTGTGTGTGTGTGTGTGTGTGTGTGTGTGTGTGTGTGTGTGTAAGTTTATTAAGGGGTGCATTGGGGAAACAGACTCACTAATACGGAACAAATAAGATACTGCTGCTGCTGATTCTGCCCATCCAGCTGCCACTGCCCTTCAGTCCCAGGCGGGAAGGGGACCAACCGCAAGCTGCTTCATGCCTCTTGACTAGGTCTCAGCCACCCAAGAGAGAGTGAGCGTGCCCCCTCCTCAGCTTTAACAACATCAAGAAACACATACTAAATGTCCAGACCAAGAGTAACTGGCAAATTACAGAGAATACTCCAATGGCTGTCCTATCCTGAAGGATCTAAATCTTGTACCTGATATGCTCTTAGCTAAGATATGAGAGGATTGTAACTGTCATCATCTAGTCTTCACCCCCATCAAACACATGAGAAGGGAAATATTACCTAAGTAAGTAGGAAACATAAGCAAACAACTTCCAAAACATGCAGGGAAATGCCAGGGACAGCTGGCAGCCTGGACAGTTACCCAAGGTTTCGCTGCAACATTGGGTCATCCACTATTGGCTACAGGCCTAGAATATCTGATAGACTGTTTTCAGAAACAGGAAAATTTGAAAGACTGTCCTACCCTGTCTTGGCAAGGCTCAGCGGTCACTTTTCCTTGTGTCCTATACATCTGGATTGGACAGTGTACTTACTGTCAGCAGTCAAAACAAGGGACGTTCTATGCCCAGCAGGCCATTTTTGCCAAGGAGACAAACTCCATATGGAGTGTCTTTGATGCCCATCATCCTCTCAGGAGTAGATGGGTGCTGCCAGGAGCAATTGGGTCTCACTTCAACAGAATTCTAAGTTATTAAAACATTTAAATGTCATATTCTCTGGGTCTTTGAAGTGTTTGAATATTACCTATTCATCTGAAATATCTCTGTTTCTCTAGAAAACCTAACTAACATGGGTATAAGTTTGACAAGCATGGGTGACTACTAACCTGTAATTCTCAATAACCCGTAGAGCTTAAAGACTAAAGTATACCCTTAGCTCTAGTCTTTGGTCATTTATAGAAGTCTGCCAAATTATTCATTTTATGGTTCCTCCTGGAATTTTTGAATCATCTTCCAAAGCTATTCTACCATCAAGAGCAGTATGGTTTTTTACAATAAGCGCTGGATCCTCTAATTGTTCTGGGGAGGAGTTTCCTCCATAGTGACAGGGAATGACTGGACCACGTTCATCTTGGGGTCCTGTGAGAGGCCTCCCAAGGCATTTCCAGATGGTGAAGGGTTGCCTTGTTTGTCTCTTGTTGATCTGCATTCATTTGTCCAATGTCCTCTTTTACCACATTGTCTGCATAATCCAGAAGGTTGGAGCCTTCTGTTTGGGTCATTCCTAGAAGAAACATTATTTCTAGGAACTCCCTGTGTCATGTGGTGTGATATCAATTTACTAAGGAGTGCAGTGGGGGAACAGACTCACTAATACAGAACAAGGAAGACGTCACCACTGCAGATCCTGGCGGTCCAGCTGCCGCAGTCCTGTCATTCTGCCCCGGGCGGGAAGGGGACCAAGGCAAGCTGCTTCATGACTTTTGACTCTGTCTCGACCACACAAGAGA